ATTAATTTATGCGTTGTATCTCCTGCATCACGCTTCTTCCCTCTTTTCGCAGTCACTTTCTCTTTTAAGTTTTCCACGCAGCATCCGCCATACTAGAATCTTGAAAGGCATCCTGCAAAGAATTCTGGGTTTGTTCTAATGTTCTAATCTGAGGTAAAGTTTATTGATTCTAAGCTGCATGCATGGCTAGCTTACGAAAATAGGGTGGAGAGAGTCGATGGGCACTCAGTGCAATCATTTTAAATTGCAGATCCAAAACTGTGCTTTGAATCTGTGTAAACCTTTGACTCCCTTTGTCCTCTTCTATGCCACACAGGCTACAATCCTTGTCACAAGTGTTGAGAGAAACATTTCCTCCTTCTCCTCCCTTCATCCTTCCCCTCTTGTCATCCTTCCCTTCTTGTCATCCTTCCCCTCTTGTCATCTTTCCCATCTTGTCATCCTTTCCCTCTTGTCATCCTTCCCCTCTTGTCATCGTTCCCCTCTTGTCATCCTTCTTCTCTTGCCATCCTCCCCCTCTTGTCATCCTTCCCCTCTTGTCATCCTTCTCCTTCCCCTCTTGTCATCCTTCCCCGCTTGTCATCCTTCTCCTCTTGTCATCCTTCTTCTCTTGTCATCCTTCCCCTCTTGTCAATAGTGGTTACAGTAATATTCAGCTACTTGTCAAGAACTCAACACTGAGAGTTGGAGGTAGGTGTTTCAACAGAATGTGATGAGGATTGTAGTCATACTTTTTATTTTCTCCTCCTTAGTGTTTATAATTATGTACTTAATGAGTATAACTGGAAGGATGGAATGGCAAAATATTCAGCTTAAGGTCATGCTGTGTGGAAAATTGTAGCTTGGTCTGTGCATCAGTTGACTGAGAGCCTAATACTTTCCTGTTAGCTAGTTGGAAAGCATATTATCATATGACCACTAAGGGTTAAAAAGTTTCAAAATTTTGTTTCAACTTATTAATTAATAGGACGTAGTAGAAGGTAGCACATGGAACAACAATGCAAAAAGATTCTACAATTATGAAAACTTTTTCTTTTTTTATTTTTAGTCAGAACATGAAACTCACAATTCTTTGGTACACAGAATTGCATTCTAAATTCTGTTTTCCTTGAAGTTCAAGTCCATGATTAGAACTCCCAAAGCAGAACCACTCAAATTGAACTAACAACAATTTTTCTAATAAAAATTTATTCCATGTTTATCTCCCAATATCAATGTTAGTACCGGTACTTTAATATTTTTGAGCAAGTTTTTGTATTTGAGTTCACTTGGTCAATTATAGCATACAGTGTTTTCTTTTTAATCATTTTTATGATGCCCCTATATTCTATGGAACCTTTATTAAGTGGTCAACCTGTACTATGCAGTCACCCCTCCATTCCCTATGGGTGACCACCTAGTATATGTTTGAGTGTTGCCACAGCCGGACCAACACTCAAGGTCTTAAAACAAGTGAGAAGAATATGCTACCTTTCTATATCAAGAAATGGTTAGATACTCTAGTCTTCTCGGATAGGGACGAATAAATAGAGGTCCCGTCTCCTGCAGGGTTAGGGGTAGGAGACGTCAATTTCCTACGCACGAGATTACTGTGTGATGGATGTCCTCCCCTGGGGTGGTTGCTGGGTGGGAATCGGCCCTGAAAAGCCCCCGTGGGGAGTGGTCAATTAACGTGTGTATGTGTATTGTATCCAAGTCCATCCTGTTTTGGGGCAATATGGTCTCCATGTTGATAGTCCTGCTTGAGTTAATTTTCATACAAGTCTGTTTAACTTTGTCTGAGTTAATGATTGCCTTATAAGTCAGTGAGGGTCAATTAATCCAGTTAAGTATATCTGAGTGTCTATGTGGCTTCTACTGTCCATTTGCTCCATCTATCTTGCGAATGGCTTCTTGTGACTAGAAGGATCATGTTCACTTTCAGGCCTCAGTCATATGAATTGATGCAACATGAATTTATCTCTTCATGTGCATTTCATTATCTTAACCAGCCACTGAAGTTGATGTTTAAAATGCTTAGTATAACACGTATTTTATAGGCGGATTCATGCTGACGTCATTGTTTATATTTTTGCTCATTTGCATACGGCTTTGCGTAAAGAAGGAAGCATGTTAGATACAAATTGACTTAAGGCAGCTAAAGAGCTAGAAAACCTTAGTACATGGTGAAATTTTTAGCTCTTTGGGTGTAATAGTCAAGGAGAAATAGTCCATCAAAAACTGCAAAATTTCTGGGTGGCAAAAGCGCTAATGAGCTCATACATTCTATGTAAAATTTTGAGTTTTTAAACCCGTGTTGCACAAAAAGTATTCAATGCATCAGGCTCGTATTCATTGGCCGAGTTAATCGTACTTTGACCTTTCGATATTCAGAACTGATTTATTTTTAGCTCCATCAGAAACTGAATTGCTTATGCTAATGAGGCAAATATTGTAAACAAGGATTCCCCTATAGTATTTACTATCGTC